CCACACATCTCTTCTTCAAGCATGGTTTTTGAGGGAACGTGGTTCTTGGTTCAGTTAAGTTCCCTAAAGAACTGTTCAATACATGGTTCCTTAAAGAATGTGAGTGTGGAGAACCTTTTCAAAGTTTAAAGAACCTGTGCATATTGTAAAGGTTCTAGTTATAACCTTTGAATTGGTACAGAACCTTTACCCGATGTGAGGGTTCTCTGAAATATCTAAGAGGTTCTTCACACCCACACTTCTCTTCTTCAGACATGGATCTTGAGGGAACCAAAAGTGGTTCTTGGTTCAGTAAAGTTCTTTTAAGTTCCCTTAAGGACTGTTCAATACATGGTTCCTTAAAGAATGTGAGCGTGAAGAATCTTTTTAACCCTTAAAGAACCTGCACATAATGTAAAGGTTCTAGTTAGAACCTCTGAATTGGTTTAGAACCTTTACACTATGTGAGGGTTCTTTAAATATTTAAGAGGTTCTGCACACACACATATAACACTCACAGTTTTTGAGGGAACCAAAAGTGATTCTTGGTTCAGTAAAGTTCTTTTAAGTTCCCTAAAGAACTTTTCAATACATGGTTCCTTAAAGAACATGAGCATGGAAAACCTCTTCAAAAACATAAAGAACCTGCGCATAATGTAAAGGTTCTAGTTGGTACCTCTGAACTGGTACAGAACCTATGTGAAGGTTCTTTAAATCTTTACCCAGAGACCTCTCTTTTCTCCAGTGGTTCTTCCAAGGCCACTCAAAGAACCAAGAGTATGAACAGAATGCATAAACGGTTCCTTGAACAGCTGAATGGTTCTTGTCCACGCATTTAAAAAGAGATGGTTTTGTAAAGGCAGTGGCTCATGCTTAAATGGTTCTCTGCAAGGTGAAATGGTTCTTCACTGAAGAAAAACACAGAACCTTTTTGAAAATGGTTCTATAAAGCACCAAAAGGGTTCTTCTGTTGTCAAGATGCCAAGCTTGTAACTTTTGGTGCTATATATTTCTTAAATGTTCTATATACACAACACATTCTCCATCAATCTGAAGAACCATTCCACCACCTTTTAAGCAGAAAATAGATCCATACAGAATCAATGGTTCTCCCTTGCCTTTACTGAAGAACCACCTTTTGTAACTGTGTATGACACATAAAGCTGTTATATGTGGTTCCACACCACCCAAAGGGCTTCACAAGCCACAGGACCTTTGGCACTCTATAGTACCCTTTTTTTTTGGTTCTCCTGAGGTTCTCCCCTGCTGTCCCTGCCAGACCTGGATCCACATGATGCCCATGAGACACACTGCAGAACAGAGACGTGGCCCGCGAGCTCCTACAGGACTTACCTGTGCGAAATACAGGTTGAGCAGACAGAGGGTGCAGAACTGCAGGCATACTGGGAAACAGTACAGGAGCCAGAAGGGCAGAGGCTGCAGCTGGCTGGCCTGAGACACGTTCCTGAAGTAGAAGGAGAAGAGCGTCGTCCTCAGCGCTGACCACAGCAGGCAGAGGAAGAGGAAGACGCTCCTGTAGCTCAGGCGCTTGTGTCCGTAGTGCAGGATGAGCCAAAGTTGGGAGTAAACGAAAAAGAAGAGCAGCGAGTAGAGAGCCGTGTAGATGGCGGTGAGAGCCAGCTGCACCTGGGGGGAGACTGCAGCAGCGGCTCGGCTCGGCTCATCAGGAGGATCCGCGACAGACCTGGAAACACTGACACTGACCTGATTTTCAAGTAACAGCATAGCGAACCGAAGGAAAACGCACCACCACAACAAGGCAACGCTCCGCCGGCCTGCTTAGGACGCCCCTGTGTTCTCCCCGCGCGCTGAGGATAAAAGGCTGAAAGTTCTCATAGGAGCTGATTTTCCGGGGCTGATAAAACCTCAAAACTTGACTGCACAGCAGCTCCTGTCTGCCTGCCCGAATTAAAAATATATATATATATTTTTAAAAAATCTACAAAAGTGCCCCAACTGGCTGCAGAGCTCCAGGGTCTGTGAAGGAGAGCTGGGATGTGAAAAACAGACAAACAAGGGGAGGAGAGAGAGAGGGAGAGAGAGAGAGAAGCCCTCCTAGAGGAACCCAAATCTCTGCAGCTCCTTCAGTGCACAAAAAAACAACTCCTGAAAAAAAATAAAAGCGATGATATGTAGAGCGCAATCAGCTGGGGCAGACTGCAGGCGAAGCCCCGCCCCCCCTCGACTGGAATCCCGCCCCCTGGCCAATTGGAAGCGCCGCAGCTGAGAGGGGGGTGTCTCAATCGAGCTTTCGTCCCCTGCGTAGTGAACTAGTAGACAACAGTGTCCTGATTCAGCCATAAAGGGAACTAGGTTGAGTGTCTACCATAGACATACCTAGATGCCGCGTTGTCTGTTGTTCTCTATCTGAGGCGATACGTCTGAGCGTCCGCCATGTTGGAGAGGTCAAGATCCGCTTCTGAACAAGTTCACTTGTATTGAGAGACAAATTCGGCTTGTTATAATCCTCAAATATAGATTATCTAGGCTTTCTTTAATAACTGATCATCCTAATTAGCCGTCCGGACCAGCAGGGAAGTATTCAGTCTGCACCTGATGTTAAAAACTGAGTTTAGTGCAAGACACATAATCAGACACATCAGCAAATCCATCAGTTTGTGAATCACTTCTAATCTTAATACACATAAAAATAAATCCACCTCCCCCAAACCACAGTAAGAAGGACGAAGCTGAAGTTGGCTTCCTCTTCGCCAGCTTCTTGTTCTAGTTTTCCAGTTCCACCTTAAACGGTGCAGCAGTCACTTTCTGGTGCCCGAAGCCGCACCATTTAAGGTGGAACGGGAAAATTCGAACAAGAAGCTGGCAAATAAGATAGTTTCAGTTTCGTGTAAGAGGGTGCTAACGTTAATCTATTATGAGTATCTACACGGATTAAGGAATGGCATGACTCACCTACAAAGCTTTAACCATCTTCTACGTAAAGTTAAGACCCCTGAATAGACTGTTAAATGAAATAAGCTTAATATAAAACCAGAGGAAAAACAATCACATCAACAGGATCTCTGTGCTTCACCAACCACACGGCCATATCTACATAAACATCACGCAAACATGAGTGTGGATCTCTGCGTTCCCTCTGTTATATAATCCTATCCCACTTTCTGAGAGCAATATTCTTGAAATAGAAGAACGTTGGACAGTATCTTTCTTAAACTGACGCTCTGTAATGGTACTGAATGCAGTCCAGCAGAGATGTTGACCGCCCTAAAATGGCGGCGCCGTTGACGTACCTGGCGGCATCTAGGTGTGTATATCTATGGTGTCTACACGTGGCTGAGGCTGAATCTCAAACGGCTCCTTATTTCCTTAATACTGCACCATGTGTGCACTTAAAAAAGGTGGTTCTTAAAGGGTTCATGGTGAAATGGTTCTTCAAAGTGATGGAGAATGTGTTGTATATGGTTCTATATAGAGGCCTTTTGAAAACGGTTCTATAGAGCATCACCAAAAAGTTTCTGCTGTTGTATACATCATAACCAAAGCAGAACCCTTTTGGTGATGCTGTGTAGAACCATTTTCAAAAAGCTTCTATATAGAACCATATACAACAAGATGGAAGTGTTCTTTGGTAAAAGCAATGGTTCTATTTAGAACCATGAGTTCTATATGGAAGCATATGCATGCTTAAATAGTTCTCAGTGTGGTAAAATGGTTCTTCAGATTGATGCAGAATGTGTAGTTTATGGACCTTTTTTAAAATGGTTCTATGCAGCACCACCAAAACGGGTTGTTCTACTATATACAAGTTGACATCGTGACAATAGCAGAACCCTTTTTGGTACTAGCCTAGAACCATTTTCAAAAAAAAGGATAAACACATTCTACATCAACCTGAAGTACTATGTCACCATGAAAATAACATTTAAGCATGAAATGGTATACAGAACGCATGGTTCTTTCACCAAAGAACCCTTGAAGAACCATCTTTTTCAAGTGTGACACTTGAAAGTGTGTCTGCGTTTGGCTGAGGCTGAATCTCAAGTGGCTCCCTACGTCCTTAATAGTGCACTATGTGTACACTTAAAAAAGATGGTTCTTCAAGGGTTCTTTAGTAAAAGCATGGTTCTGTTTAGAGCCATGAGTTCTATTTCATGCTTAAATGGTTCTCTGCATGGTGAAATGATTCTTCAGATTGATGGAGAATGTGTTGTATATGGTTCTTTGTAGGACCTTTTTGGAAATGGTTCTATGTAGCACCACCAAAAAGGGTTCTGCTGTTGTATACAAGCGTGACATCATAACAATAGCAGAACGCTTTTTGGTACTAAAAAAAAAAACACCCATCATGAATCAAAATCTTTCAACTTCACGTTAAAATAAACAAAAAAAGATCTTTAAAAATTTTTTAAAAGTAACAAAAACAGTAAGTATTATTTTCACAAGGGTTTCTGAAACGGTTCTCTGCATGGGGAAATGGTTCTTTGCAAGGTTAAATGGTTCTTTAGATTGATGCAGTATTTGTTGTATATGGCTAGAATGTTTTAAATGTCAATATAGCAGCAAAAAGGGTTCTTCTACTATATACAAGCTTCCAGACCCCTTTTTGGTGCTAGCCTATGTAGAACCATTTAAAAAAGTATAAACACACTCTCCATTATTCTGAAGAACCATTAAAAGAACCGTTTAAGCATGAATTAGTACATAGTTTGTATTCCTTTCACCAAAGAACCCTTGAAGAACCATCTTTTGGAGAAAACAGTTTTGAACAATTTGCTTTGAAACGCTGCAAAATGGTCCCTGTGCGCATGCTCCCTTCGAAGTGCCCTAGGCAGGGTGCATGTGTTTGGTTTGGAGCGCGTGCTGTGTTTTCAAAAATCCGCCTATTAGCTCATCATTGGCTATCCGCGGACCCCGCCTCTGTTTTCGGAGGCTTTCATTGGCTGAGCTGCCTCTGATTGGCGCTCGGGATCCTCGTTGGAAAATCCCGCTCATGTGATTGGAGGATTTTGGCGCATGCTTTCTGGGCGATTCACGGATCTTAAATCGCTACACAAACAAGAAATGTATGGTCGGTGATCTAGAGTGTGAACAGAAGCCCGTGTCTCTGATAGAGGCTCCCATAGACCGACGTGTAAACCTGCAGAACTAGAGCAATGAGGATCCCAGGCTCCGTCCAGGGTTCATTCAGGCTGACTTTGGGAAGTAAAATCATTATTGTTTCTTTATTTGCATGCAAATCCGTTAACGAGCACCTTCAAATCGCCGCACCCGTCCAAATAAACGCTCACTAGGCGGTGAAATACAGTCACAAGTCTGCAGTCTGTTACACTGGGACGAGCGACCATGTGCGGTATTTATGCTGTAGCTCTTCTGTTGGGCTTCATATCAGCGCAGTGCGGTTCTACTGATGCTTCAAAGCTTGTAGAGCACACAGCTCAGACTTTCAGAGCGGCTGTGCTGTCCGGGAAAACCTCCTTCATCTACTTTGGCGAACATGGTGAGATATTGCCAAACTTAAATTTTCGAACTCACCGTTCCACCTTAAATGCAGCAGCAGCCCCATAGGTTCCATTGTGACGGCTGCGCTCATTTTCCTCTTTTAAGGTGGAACGGAAAATTCGAATAGGAACACTCGTTGAGATCGAGTTTAAACTTCTAAATATGATCATATTGCAAGTCAGGATCGTTTATTCGATGTCATTCACAGTCATAAAAATTAAAGGGCCCATATTTTACATTCCCTCCCGAAGTCCAGTTATGACGTTTGTGTGATGGGTTTATGTCTTTATCCCTGAGAAGTCAAACAGTCTGCTGCTACTATCCCTTTAAGACTGATTTATGCAAATGAGCTCTGTTCCGATTGGCTGATCCTGTATTGTGCCTTTTCTTTCGAAAAGCAGTTCAGAGCTGTAAAAACTGCTTAGAACTTAAGTGTTATAAGGTGGGTATGTACTGAAGAAGCTGATTTATGTAAATGCATTAGTTTATGTGACATCACACAAACAGTGATTTCAAAACGAGCCAGTTTTGCTGCTTAATTTGCATATACACAGATCAGGCATAACATTATGACCACCTCCTTGTTTTGTTGGCTGGATATTTTCGGTTGGTGGACTATTCTCAGTCCAGCAGCGACACTGAGGTGTTTAAAAACTCCAGCAGCGCTGCTGTGTCTGATCCACTCAGACCAGCACAACACACACTAACACACCACCACCACGTCAGTGTTACTGCAGTGCTGAGAATGATCCACCACCCAAATAGTACCTGCTCTGTGAGGGTCCATGGGGGTCCTGACCACTGTAGAACAGGGTAAAAGGGGGCTAACAAAGTATGCAGAGAAACAGATGGACTACAGTCTGTAACTGTAGAACTACAAAGTGCACCTATATAGTAAGTGGAGCTGATAAAATGGACAATGAGTGTAGAAACAAGGAGGTGGTCATAATGTTATGATCGGTGTATGAAATGTGGTGTGGAGTTTAAGACTTTTAACAGTGCTCATAACTACATATAACTCCTTTAAGTGAGGAGTGTCTGGTTTTCCACGGGCCCTTTAATAATTACTATTACTTTCTCCAGCTCTGTTTAAATCAATGGAAAATAATGCATTCTGTGTTTTATCTCCAGTTAATCCAGCCATTAAAGCCTTTATAGAGCAGCTGGAGATGTCTGCACATGCCTTAGAGGACTATGGGATACTGGTTGGTAAGGTAGGAGATCATTTTTCATCCTCTACCTGCTCAGCTTTCATCCGTTACAGACTGAGTGTATGGAAGAACACAAAGACAAGCAGCCAGGAAAAACATTTATTAGCTGTTTTTGGTTCATTGTTCTCATGATATGTTTTTATGTTTTGTCTTGTATTTTATTGATTATAGGCTGTTAATTGTTTTCATTTTTGTATATTTTTTTCTTAATTCTTTTTTTGATTATTGTGTATTACTTTTTAACTTTTATTGAACAGACATCATATTTTTTCCAGCTATTTTATTCCGTGCACTGCTTTAGTTACACTATTTTACTCTTTTAATGAATTATAAGTTTGAGCTGTGTTTTATATGTGAAAGATGCCGTGTAAAGCTGTTTTTTCTAGTTTTATTTACTATATCATTTGACAGTTATTTATTATTTATTTATTTTTTATTAATTATTTATTTTGAATATTAATTATAATAATAATTGCTTCCTTCTTGTTTTTTAGGTTTTTAAAGGATTTCATTTTAATACCTATTTATTTTTTGTTGTTATTCTATTAATTTTAGAGCTACTAATTTGTAGTTTTTTAAATATTTTTTATTTGTTTTTATCTTGTATTGTCTTTTTGGGCGGTTTCCTATTGTAAAGCACTTTGAACTACATTTCAATGTATGAAAGATGCTATATGAAGTTTACTGCTACTATTATTATTATTGTTGTTGTTGTTGTTGTTGTTATTGTTAAGTCCAAGCAGAATGCATTATCAAGTGAAGATAAATGCTCTATTCTAGCACATTCCTTGCACAATACTGTCACAAAACTTCCTTGATGACTAGAAGAAAAGTTGACTGTGATAAATTACTGAAGCAGAGTTGCTTCTGCAGGTGAACTGTTCCAAAGAGAGCGTGGAAAAGTACTGCACCGGAGAGGAAGTGATGAAAAAGGTGTATTTATTCAGGTGGGAATTCATCCATTTTCTTACTGTGTGCCCTGAATAATGTAATCTGGTTCTCTAATAACCTCTATAATCTGATTAAACTGGCTAACCTTTTTTCTTCTTACTGGCTCTCTTATTCAGAGGTGCTGATGTCTTGAGAAGCTTCGATATTGACACTGTTTTTGACGTCAACGCCATCGTTTCTCACGTGCTGTTGTGAGTTGGACGACTTCTTCTACTCATTGCATCGCTAATAAGTCAGTTCTGCGTGATGCAGCGTTCAATCACAGATGAACGATTCTGTTTTCTAGGCTTGTCTTTGAAATATGTCTGTTTTCTCTGCTGTTAGCTCTGTGCTCTTCACTGAGGTTCGTTATGTACACACTCCTGCGGAGCTGCTCGCCGTGGAGAGGGCCGCGAAGGGAAAGATGGACATTGTGATGGGCCACATTCAGGTGCTCGGTCTTCCAGGTAGGTTTTCCTCAGGTATTTTCTGGAAAAGTGGCTGAAAAGTGAAATTATTCTGTGTTAAATAACTATCAGAACCTCAGAGAAGGCCTTTATGATTTCTATGACTTTAAAGTTCATGTCTGTAATTATTAGTGCTTTTTTATTTAATATAATCACCATGTTTGCATTTAAACCATGTAAGTATTACAGTAGCACTAAGTTGCGGTTGGAAACAAAAGGATTAAATTCTTGAAATGGATCACAGAAAATGGTCCAATCAGGATTGTTTACTTTGTGGTATCTAGGTAGCTACAGCCAAGCAGCTCTCCCATTGGTTAGGCCTTCACATAGGGCTGAGCAGTTAATCAAAAAGTAATCGAAACCGACGTTCAGAACCTCTAACCGACGTAACCGTGCGTGTATATTTTCCACAATATAATGTTTTTCACTTAGATAATCAGGCTTTCATCTATTAGCGTATCTGAAGATCTGTGTTTGAAGTGATTCCTCTGATATACTGATGGACACTGATGAGTCCCCACTGTCCTCTAATGGACTCACATGATTTCACAAGTGAAAACTGTGTTATTGCACTGCAGCTTTTGTGTTCATGTTTAACACAAGTTGAAAATAATTTGATAATTGGATATTTTGCCATAGTTTGATATTTGATTGAGTATATGAGGTATTTAGTTCAAAATATTTTCCTGTCTGAGTAGAACATCGAGCATTAATGGAGGCAGCGTTTGTGTATGGAGCCAAGTACCAGTTTGTGCAGACCACCGGAGCCCCTCTACTCAAACACATGGGGTAAGTGGCTACTGTGTTCAGTTTATTGTTGAAGATGTTTAATATATCATAACTGTTAACAATAGCAATCTTATATCTTCAAAAGCAGAAGGAAAAACAATTCTTAACTGTCAGTGTAAGTTAAAGAGCCTATATCCTTAACGTCAGCAGTGGTGGACAGTAACTAAGTAAATGTAATTCGTTTCTGTACTTAAGTAGTTTTTTCGTGTATCTGTACTTTACTGAAGTTTTTCCATTTTGGGAGACTTTTTCCTTTCACTCCACTACATTTCAGAGTCAAATATCTCACTTTTTACTCCACTACATTATGAGAAATCTGTCGTTCCTTTTGGTTTATGTGTGTATAAAAACGTAACATGTCAAAACGAAAGAAGTGCAAAGCAAGAACACCAATCAGGGCACAGCGGTCACTTTGTTTTGAGCTTGTTTTGACCTGTTTGTCATACCGACCCGGTGCAGCACACGGTTCAACATCAGTGCAGCAGCGTAAAATTTTGGGAGAGTCTATTCAACATAAATGATGAACTAACCTAACTTTGTGTAAATAGACCACAATATAGAAATATGTACACATATGCAGTTGTGACTGACGTGTCTTTTTTCTGAATTTATACAAACACGATTTCATTTTATAGTAAATTAGTTTTGTCTAGTTTATGTTTATGAACAGAGACCTACAGATGCAGTTTAGTAAAGGAAACTCATTTGTGAATCTGAGTTTAAAGTTTTTATTAAACTTAAACTGTAACTAAGTTCAAATAAATCTTAAACTGAAACTTTGCTTGTTTGTAAAAAGTGATTTCAGAGCCACTCAGTTCTACCTGATGGAAACTGTTTGCCTTCAGTGTTTTGTGCTTATGATCATTTTAATAGACATCAGCGTCACTAATTAATGACATTCTATTAAAAGACTGGTTTACCAAGAGAGACACTGGAGTATTTTCACCTAAAATGAGTTAATGAAGCGAGTCTTGTTATAAAAATGATAATAGGACATTAAAGCCATAATCAATCTTTTAGTACTTTTACTTTTGATACTTAAGTACATTTGAAGGTAAATACTTTTGTACTTTTACTCAAGTGGAGGTCTAAAGGGAGGAACTTCTACTTTTACTGCAGTAATATTTTACCTTGGGTGTCTCTACTTTAACTCAAGTTGGTTTGGTTTGTGTACTTCGTCCACCACTGAACGTCGGCCAGAAAAATCACACAGGCATGGCTTCCCCCACGTAGTCCATGTGTATGACATTGAAGATTTAAATAGTACTAGATAAGAGTAATAGATCTGGCCAAATCCGGAATCTCCAAAGCTAGAACATCTATCCTTGTGACACGGAGACAGGTTTGTTTTGATGTGATGGAAAGACTGGAGCAAATGGGATGATGCCCTGTGTACAAGCTAGAATTTCTTTTTCATTTTTATTTTAGCTCATTTTTTAAAAATGAAAACAGACTGTTTTTTGTTACTGCGTCTTTAAGACTGATCTGTTTAAGTGAGCAAAACAGGTGTGTGAATGAGCTCCATTCTGATTGACTGACCTGTATTGTGCCTCATTTAAAAAGCAGTCCAGGTTGAAACACCCCTTATAACTTCAATGTGAGTGGGCGGGGCTAAACCACTGTTGGTTGAATAGGTAAAAAAAGTCATATTAATACATATTAGACATATTAATCATATTAAGACATATTAATATATTGCGTGTGATACAATGCTTTTATGTAAAAGTCAGATAATTGAAAATTTTCATGATGTGGGCTCTTTAATGCATCAAGATTTTATTGTCATTTTTGACTGTTTCAATTGGTCCATTAATCAAAATTAAAATTGTCACACAATGTAAAAAATATATATAAATTATTAATATAAAAACAAAAAAATAGACAAAATTGGAGATACAAGGTTTTGTTCTAACAGCGATTGTATAATTATATTTATCTGTTTATTTTTCTTAGTAATTAATGCATCATTTATAGGAGTTACTGAATAATAAGCCTGGGTTTGAGGGGTTAAGTTCTATTGTACAGGGTTTAATCCTCTATGCTCATTTCCTACAGACTGCTCAGGGTCTTATACCTACTAAAGGCATTAGTGAGGAATATAATGATCATGCCGGACTTTATGAGGCTCGTTGATCCGAATTCCAGCAGATTTAGGTTAAAAATGAAGAAAAACCCAGATGTGTTCCAACTTTAGCTGCTAATCCCGGTTTAAATAAGTCCTGCTTGTTCCGCTTACAGAGTCGCTGATCCGACGTCAGTTCAGGCTCGTCTCTGGTTCCTCCACTGCAGGGGAGTGACCCACCGCTCTGAGCCCTGTCCACAAACACTGATGAGAAAACCTCTGACCACCATCAACATTCACACCTTCCTTCAGCTGATGGAGGCACCACTCTTGGTGAGAAAGCCCAGCACTGCCTTACTGTGGATTATAATATCTGTCAATTCATTTCCAGTCAAAATTGCCGTTAAATATAAGTTACACATTTTATTCATTTATTTCTATGAAGGAGAAAGTCAAAGAAAAAAATAGGTGAGCAAAAAACAGGAGTTTCCAAAACTGGAGCCCAAAAACTGATTAAAAGCTACAGAGAAAATGTGGCTCCTAACAACCACCTGGAAGACCTGTTAGACCCCAAAACTGCCCCCATCAGATAAACAGCACTTAAAGCTTTCATCTCTGAGAGAGAGGAGAAAATCAAGCTGCTTCAGATCTGAAAACATCCACAGGTGTTTCTGTCCATCCTTCCACTGTGAGAAGACGACTCAGCGCTGTGGGTCTGAAAGGATGTGTAGCTGTCAAGAAGAACCTCACTGAGAAAAGGAGACGGACACATCAAACAAAGAAGCTGAACGATGGACTGACCACCCCAGAGTCCAGAACTCAACACCACTGAATGTGTTTGATTACTTCAGAAAATGATCAACCAGCTTCTAAGACTGAACTTTGGAGGTGTGTCTGCAGATTCTTTGAGGAACTGAAAGTGAGTCTCCTGAAAAGAAGGGAAGCTGGAATAAAGGTACAGAGAGGACATGGTATAGTATGTATAGCATGTAACTTTGTTCTGATGCTAAAAAATGAATTACGTTTAATTAATGGCTGTTTTGACTGGAAATGAAAGAACTGAAGGATGTTCAGACATTTTCACAGTACCTTGTACTTTTTGATGAAGTAAAGGAAAACAATCCCTGTAAAATAAGAAGATAATCCTTTATTAGTCCCACAACAGGGGACATTCACAGTGATACAGCAGGGAGAGCAAGGAACTCAAGAAAAGAAGTAACAAGACAAGGTAATTAATCTTGTCATTGAGTGTGTATATGTGCACTTAATAATCTGATCATAATCAGATTTCTGAAGTTATCCAATTATTCAAATGGTAATGTAAACAGCACACTCTGATCTAGAAATCTGATAAAGAGGCTGGATTTTAGCTCAGTGATCAGATTTCTCAGTGCTGTAAACTCTTACTCTGATTTCTTTCAGATTTCTCCATCTGAGCATGTGTGAAAACAGACGGCAGTACCCGAAATAAGCAAGCAGAAACATTTATTCAAATTTAAACAAATATTCTGCATCTTCTAGATGATGTATGTTCATATTTTAAAGTGGCGCAAGTCTGTGGTATGAAGTTTGTTTTACATCATGTTTATGTCACGTCGTCTTCTGTGAGTTTATTGGCTGGTTGCAAAGCAGAAATCTGATTACTGTCTGACTCATGTAGACCTGGAGTTTCCCCATTATCTGATTACTCACATGCATGTAAATATGTTGATCGGATTACTGACAAAATCTGATTTTCTTCAGTTATCAGATTATTAAGTGCATGTAAACACACTCAATTACTTAACAAGGTGACAGTTTGCTACTTATTACTGTATAAACAAATTATATAACACAATTGAAAAATACAACTCTATCCTTCACAAATTTAACAATATAAACATAATAAATAGAAAAGCAAAGAAAATATTTACACTGTAAGAATATTTTACGCATATTGCACATGGAACTCAGCTTCATGTCCATCGGAGTGTCGTCCTCGAAATGAAGAGCAGGTTTTGTCTGAATAATGATTTGACCGTTTCCTTTTCCAAGTTACTGTTAAAAGCTTGTATTGGGGCCCCAAAGGTGGGTTAAACACCTGAAAGCTTTGAGTGCTGATGAGCTCTGACATCACAACATGGGGAGAAAATGGGCGTGGCCTTTGGCTTTATTCCCAAGCTGGCATTGTCACTAATACTGGCTTAGATATTTACATGTGTGATATTGATTAGGCTTAAATGTGGTAAGTTATGGTCATTTGTGTTAAGGGTCATTCTACAGAAACGTCCAATTTTGTCTCCCTAGCATATATATATTACACTTAAAAAGCATGTTAGGGTTATGATTTATGTATATTTCAAAATAAAACAGTAAGTTATTTTAACAATTACACCCTCAATTCAGCAATATTTGTTTTCAAATCAGTTATCTAGAATTCCAAACACCACAGAAGAGCTCATCCCCACAGTCATGTGTGAAGGGTGAGGCCATATTTTGAAAAAAATAAAAAACGTTTTTCTGCAGTTTTAACTACAATAATCTATACATGATTATGAAATATATAAATTAAATGATATAAAGGAAACAAATGTCAAATAAATATTATAAAATATATAATGAAAGTTCCCCAGGAGTCGTGTCACTGGTGTTACCGCATAACAAAAATCTCTTATTTTGAAATAAAAGTCACACTGATGACATCACTTGACTTCCTTTTACCTGTTTTCTGAGGATCTATGAAGAAAAGCACATGGTGAGTCCACTGTGTCTTTCAGTTATCAGAGATTTTCTCATTTAGCTCATGATTTCATATGAAGCTTTTAGCTGAAGTCACTGGTGTGACCGACTTTATTCTGAGGTCATTGTGAAAAAATAGAATACAAATGGATTAAATTCCATATTTTGGTGGATATTCCATGACTGACAACATGTGGTTTGATGCTCTGTAGCAGACATTTAGTAAAATGTATTGTTCAAAAATGTCTCTGGTGTTCCTTATTATGAGTAACACCAATGAGGATCAGTAACACCAGTGACTCCTATGGAGAGATAGAAAAGTGGACGTTTCTGTAGAATGACCCTTAAGCAGTTTAAGCGAAGTGTCCCCAGACCTTGAACAGGACATGTAAACTGCGCTCTGTGTTGTTCTCTATTGCAGACAGAGGCAGCTGTGGACCCCGATGACGTGAAGGGCGTCTATAATCACCTGAACGTTCCTCTGCTGTTCCTGTTCACTCAGCCTGAAACGCTGCAGCTGGACCGAGACACGGCCGAGTCTGTGGCCCGGAGGCTCCGGGGCGAGGTGGGGGTGGTGCTCATCCACAGGTGGGCATGAAATACAGCCACACATTGAGAGCCATCAGTGTCTGTTTTCAGCACAGTCACTCTGCTGGTTAAACGTTTGAAATGAAATGAATCACGTTCATCATCAGCACAAACTAACGAGCAGAACGAGCTTCGCTGAGAAGATAATTAACTCTGATCAGCTCTCAGCTTCATTATTAGAGCGAGACGAAGGAGAAAAAGGTGAGATGAGCTGCTTTTCCACCGTTTACAGGCTTTAACTTCTGTTCGGTGCTGCTGCCATGGTAACGCTGAATGATGGTCATGCGCAATGGAATAAAAGCACATGAATTCCGATCTGAGCGTCACATAAAGATCACATGGCCACACATCGGATACATGTCCGATCCAGGACCACGTATGAAAGTGGCTCAGGTCGGATTTGAAAAGATCAGATTTGTGTTTCCACACAGCTCTGAAAACATCAGATCTGAGTCACATTAGGGCAAAAAAAAAAAATCGGAATTGTGCCACTTTAACCTGGTAATGTGAACGTAGCCTAAGTTAATGCATCCTCTAATTAAACTTAAATATGGCCCTTTTCTACAAGTTTTAGTGCACAATTTCTTTTAATATCTTTTAATTATTTTTATTGGAAAAAAATATATAAAATGTGTCAAGTTTTGAACAGGCCTCGTTTTATGTTTTATGTTTAATGTTAAATTCAGTAAATAAACAGTAATTGTGCATTAAACTGTGCAGAAGTGTGTTCTCTGTAGAGGATGTGTAAACTTATTCACACTTAGAAAATCTACAGAACATGTCACTATGCCTTTTGCATAATTCTGTAACTTTTGTGTATGACTGTATAGTGTATATTAAAATATATAACTAGGTACCAGAATATTTATACACTCTCAGAAATAAAGGTACTAAACCGTCACTGGGGCAGTGCCCCTCTCGTCACTGGGGTGGGACCCTCAAGGGTCCATCTCAGTACCTTTAGTCAGGGAACATAACTGAACCATAATCCACTGAAATGATATGTTCTAAGCTGTACTGACTCCACACACCCCGTCTCGCCTCCAGGCTTTTATTTTACTGTTCTGTTTTAAAACATTCGGTTATGAAAAGGTACAAATACAAACTTTTCACCTGGAAAAACTTATTTAAGGTTCACAATCAGACCTTAAAACCACTGTTGGAGCTTTGAGGGAACATTTACACTGTTTGTATCTTGATGAATGAGAAATGTACCTGAACAGAACCTTCATGAAAAAGTTATTAAATCATAGATGAAATATAATAATTGTCCATTTATATAATTTCTTTTCCAGGTTGAAATTTAGTCACCAGTTTTCAAATATGATAAGTTCTGGATTTTAATTGTATTATAATTGCTTTCAGATTAATAATTGATTAAATAACTAGATTAAAAAACATATAGCATTAAAAGAAATTCTGGACATTTCTGGATTTCTTCCTTGTATATCAAATATATAATTATTTATATTTATTTATGTATAGAGAGCAGTATCTCTTTTTCTTTAGCTTTTTACAAATTATATAAAACGTATGATTTTCAGAGTTCCAGCATCGTAATATGCAACCAATTGGTTTTATATTTTTAAAAACAGTGATTTTAAACTTTTTAAGGGCAATAATGAGTCATCTCCCCACTTAGTCTGTACTGTTGAGATCAAGTTAGTTTCTCTGGTCTGTTTTACAGGGACGGCCGCAGAGTTAAAACTCCATTGAAGTACAATGCTGCATATCGGCTGCCGCAGGAGGTCAGCGATACATTCTTAGCACAGCACATGCTCTGAAAACTCTTTCTGTAGTGACTATTTGTCCTTATTCTCAACAGGAAGTGAGGTATTTCAGCCTGAAGAATGTGGAGGAGGTTATTGATCTGTTCAGAGAACAACTTTTTCAAGGAACAGAGGAGGAGGAGGAGGAGGAGGAAGAGGAAGAAGATGATCGATGGTCCAGTTTAGGTGAGATGCTTTATTCCAGTCCAGTGTCTGAGAACAGAGGTGAGTAGGGTGTCCTAAACACGTTCTGCAGTAAATGAGTATTGTGCTTTTTATAACTACATAATTATTCCACTTGTTTTATAACAAGTCAAACAGATGAGGTCTGTTGTTCTACAGGAGACCGCAGCACTTCAGACCCGATACTTTTGTACTATTGTTGGTCTTTGCTCGGCTACTTTTACTGATACTCATTATTTATTTGAAGTAACGGTACTTTTACTACAGAGTGGCTTAAGCTTACCTGTGATTGACTGCTCTCTCACTTACAGGGGTGGCTCATAATCCATTCCACGTACTCAGTTCCAGGTACTTGATAGATTTGTACTTGAGTATTTTCAAATGATACTTCTGTTCATGTATATTAGTGAGGACACACCTGAAATGTAAAGGGTCAGGAGTCAAGAGGCTTTTATTGTCATTCCATCTACGTACAAGTACACAGTGGAGCGCAAGTACGTTCCTCCGGGACCAACATGGTGCAACATGGAACAAAATAGACAAAGTGCAAATGTCCAGACGTGAGTGTGCAAACATTAAACTAGTCAAGTCAAGTCAAATCTATTTATATAGCGCCTTTTACAACAGACGTTGTCACAAAGCAGCTTTACAGAGAATCTGGGTCCACGCCCCCAGTGAGCAAGCCTTGGCGACAGTGGCAAGGAAGAACTCCCTCAACAGGAGGAAGAAATCTCGAGAGGAACCAGACTCAAAAGGGGAACCCATCCTCCTCTGGTCGACACCGGATAACAGCACAGACACAAAACAGTATAAGTGGATACAGTTTAACACCACTGTGCAACGCGCCGGCCGCATCGGTCACGTCAGACCCTCTTAGGACAGGCAGCCGCTCAGCTCAGGGAAAGGGAGGGGGAGGGGGAGGGGGAACGGGGGGGGGGAGGGGGAAGGGGGGGGGGAGGGGGGATGAGAGGGACATAGTTAGAAAAACAAATTAACCAAAGGCTCAACTAAACAGGTACGTTTTTAGCCTAGACTTAAAGATGGAGGCTGAGTCCCGAACACAGACTGGTAGGCTATTCCAAAGCTGGGGGGCGTGGTATGAAAAGGCTCCTCCCCCTGACGTAACTTTATTTATTCTGGGCACTAATAATGAGCAGCACCTTGTGATCTAAGTGGGCGTGTCGGTTGATAGTAGGAAATAAGGTCACTGAGGTACTGAGGATCAAGGCCGTTCAGAGCTTTATACATCAGTGGAAGAATTTTGTACTCAATGCGGAATTTAACTGGCAACCAATGTAAGGTACACAAAACTGGGCTAATGTGGTCGAATTTCCTGGTTTTGCTGAGAACTCTGGCTGCAGCGTTCTGGACTAACTGAAGCTTGTTAAGGTTTTGGCTGGAACAACCAGAAAGCAGAGCGTTACAGTAATCTAACCTGGACGTGATGAAGGCGTGAACTAACGTTTCTGCGTCCTGTAGCGACAGTGCATTTCTTAAACTAGAAACAATACAATAAATACGATAAATTAAACGGACATTATACACAGTAAACAGACAGGACAGTGCAGCACCGACACAGCACTCGTTTCTGGACATGAGGTATTGAGAATAAGGTCTTGTAGTTGGGGATGGCCTGGATGTCCTACTACATGCGCCGTGTGTCAGCAGTGTCTTGAAAATGTTCATGGATTTTCTTTGAGTAGGCGCGCTTTGCCTCTTTGATGGCCCGGGAAAGCTTTGCTCTTGCTATCCTGAGGCTTGCCTTATCCTCTCACTTGAAGGCCTTATCGTAGGTTCTCAGCAGCATGCGCACCTCCACAGTCATCCATGGCTTCTGGTTGGGGTGTGTAGTGACGAGTTTGGAGACAGTAACATCATCAGTGCACTTGCTGATGTAGCCAGTCACTGATTCAGGTTGATGGAGTCACCAGAAGTTGCTGCTTCTCTGAACATCTCCCAGTCAGTGAGCTCAGAACAGTCCTGAAGAGCAGAGCAGCTCCTGGTGGCCAGGTTCTCACTTGCTTCCAGTTTGGCACGTCTGATGAGCGGTCTGTATGCTGGAGTGAGCATCACAGAGATGTGGTCTGAGTAGCCGTAGGTCCAGCACATTAGCCGCCACGGGTGCAAAGTCCACATACTGGTGGAATTTAGGGAGCACTGACTTCAGATTAGCACAGCTGAAATCTCCAGCGACAATAAACAGTCCGTCTGGGTGTGTTTTGTAGTCAGTGTATCTAACATTTCTCATTTTGAGATATAATAAGATTATCGGTCCCACTTTATGTGGATCGTCCACTATAGCCTCCTATAGATTATCTACAGATGTTCACAAACTATCTGTTGATTCCCAAACAGTGGTGGGGGTAGGATTTGGACCAGGGTTAGGGCTGAACCAGGGTGAGCTGGGTTTAGGTTTTGGGCTGAGGTTAGGGTTAGGATTAGAGCCAGGATTAGAGTTAAAGACAATTCTGGTCAGTTTAGTAGATATTTAGTTGAATGTAACTTGAAAGTAAATTAAGTATCTACAAAGTATCCAAAGTGGACTATCCAAATAAAGTGTTACCAGATTATTTAACTTATTTCAAAACAATTTAATTAGTTTTAAGGAATTTTATCAAGCGAAAGTGTGGCAGATAATTTGCTTGTGTTGTGAAATAAATCGGATAATTTTGCATAATTCGGGAAATAATGCTTAAAACGAGTAAGCGTATCTGCTGATGGAATAAACACTTTCCTAACACAAGATTACATAAAACAAGTACAAAAATGTGTAGAAATGAGTTACATAATATGACATGTTGACTACATTTACTCAATTTTCAGTTGCTCAGACATTTTTTGCAGCACCGTTTTTTTGCAGTACTTACAGAACTGCAGTGGAGCTTCAGCATCCATCAGTATAAGAACTGAAGAGGCTCTATTCTTCTATTTTAGTCTAAAACGAAGCTCCAAAGTGAGAGGAGTGATCAACAGTAAAGACCAACAGTAAACAGTGAAGTTCCCTCACTAATGTACTATAATATCATACACCGATCAGGCATAACATTAAGACCACCTCCTTGTTTCTACACTCATTGTCCATTTTATCAGCTCCACTTACTATATAGGTGCACTTTGTAGTTCTACAGTTACAGACTGTAGTCCATCTGTTTCTCTGCATACTTTGTTAGCCCCCTTTTACCCTGTTCTTCAGTGTTCAGGACCCCCATGGACCCTCACAGAGCAGGTACTATTTGGGTGGTGGATCATTCTCAGCACTGCAGTAACACTGATGTGGTGGTGGTGTGTTAGTGTGTGTTGTGCTGATCTGAGTAGATCAGACACAGCAGTGATGCTGAAGTTTTAAACACTGTGTCCACTCACTGTCCACTCTATTAGACACTCCTACCTTGTCGGTCCACCTTGTAGATGTAAAGTCAGAGACGATAGCTCATCTGCTGCTGCACAGTTTGTGTTGGTCATCCTCTAGTCCTTCATCAGTGGTCACAGGACGCTGCCCACAGGACTCTGTTGGCTGGATATTTTTGGTTGGTGGACTATTCTCAGTCCAGCAGTGACACTGAGGTGTTTAAAAACTCCAGCAGCACTGCTGGGTCTGATCCACTAAGATGTTTACACTAGATGTTGGAACATTGCTGTGAGGATTTGATTGAGCGTTAGTGAGGTCAGGTACTGATGTTGAATGGTCAGTTCTGGATCACTCCAACTCATCCCAAAGGTACTGGATGGAGCTGGGTGGAGCTCCATCACTCCACAACCCAGTGCTGGGGGGCTTTATACCCCTCCAGCCCACACTTGGCATTCTACATGGTGACCTTAGGCTCATATGCGGCTGCTGCGGAGGGTCCCGTCCTATTGGTCAATGCTGTCCTGTGGAGATTATACAAGCTGAGCAGAGTTGAATGGCCATATCAGACATTAAAAGTCTGTCTGGAAATTTTGGTCATGCAGGGGCAGATTTACTAAAAGAGGCTCTAATTACTGACGGTCTGCGGACTCTTTGTGCTGGTGGGGGTCATTTAGCAGGTTATCTCCTGAGAATGTAGTTCCACTGCTCCACAGCCCAATGCTGGGGGGCTTTATACCCCTCCAGCCCACACTTGGCATTGGGCATGGTGACCTTAGGCTCATGTGGCTACTCCAGAGCGTCTTGTTCTATTTTGTTCAATTAATTTCACAATTATTTATTTGCCAACGATACAAACATGTTAAACTCCAATGTAAACAGAGCTTTCCTTCGTCCTTTGCAGATGTTTTGGACGATGAGGTGGCGGAGTCTGTGTACAGAGACCGAGGACTAACGCTGGACACAGAAGCGGTCACAAAACTCACAGCTGAAACTTTCAGCACTGCAGTGACACAGAATGGCCTCATGGTGGTGCTGTTCTATGTGAAATGTGAGTGTCATATATCTGTCTGATTATTCTCCTGATTGTAGAGGCTGACTAAATTCTTTTTAGAGCAAGATCAGTGGCATTTCCAGCTATGTAGTATTTTGTATTAATTGCTTATTAATTATCTGCAAATAATTTCTGCAAAATTAAACCATAAGTGCACATTTGCTTTATAAAGGAAGGCTCTCTAGACATTGTCTGTTTTCTTTTTATCCTGTAGGGGACGCTGTGTGCATGGCTTTCCTGCAGTCGTATGTAGAAGTTGCTGATGCGCTGGAAGGTAAAGCACTGAATGTGGAAAAAAACAAATTTTTATATATATATATCTATATATATATATATATATATATATGTATATATATATATATGATGTGTATATATATATGATGTATATATGTGTAAGTGTATACATATATGTGTATATATTTGATATAATACTAAGAAATGTTATTTGCTTTTTAATCTATTTAATTCATGTAGTCATTTATTAATTGTTAATCAGAATGAAATTATAATAAAAATTAAAATATTTAATCTAAAAGAAATTAGATGAATGAATAATGTTTGTACGTAATCCATGATTTAATAACTTTTTGTTCTTTCAACAAAATTTAAAGCATATAGAAATATTCTGGTGTCTAGATTATATATTTTAATGTACGCTATATAGTCATATGCAAAAGTATGTGAAAGGCATAAATTCATTTTGTTGATTTTCTGAGTGTAAAACACTTGTGCACATTTTTATACACACTGTTTATCTGCTGAATTTAACATATTAGGGGGGAAAAACAAAATGTAGCCTGTGCAAAAATTATGCCATTTTTTAAAATTTATATATTTAATTAATTTCAGTAAATAAATAGAAATTGTGCACTAAAATTTGCAGAAAACTGCCATAATTAACCAGAAATTCCACAAGTGTTTCTATATTTCTGCATAATTCTGTCATTGAGCTGTGAGCAAATATCTGAAATGGTTGATTGTAGAGACTCCGATGTCTTTACAGTGGTGGTGATAGGAACCAGGGGTCGCCATGACTACAACACTAATATAGCCATTTTATTTACTATCCAGAACCACCAGTGAACCTACACGAGTCTTCTGAGTTTATACGGAACGTTGATGATGGAAAATAGTGATAAATCTGAAATAATGTAAGTTGCCTCATAACATCCTGCATGTATTAAACAAAAGGATGTTTTAGGCCAAAAGCTTCTCAAAACTGCCATAAAACAGTGTTGAACATCAAAAATGTGCAAATTCCCTTTAGTATTTCCAACTCTCTCTCTCTCTCTCTCTCTCTCTCTCTCTCTCTCTCTCTCTCTCTCTCTCCTTCTCTCCCTCTCTCGTTCTCTCTCTCTCCCTCTCTCACTGTCTCACTCTTGTCTTTCTCTCTCTCTCTCTCTCTCTCTTTCGCTTTCTCTCTTTCTCTCTCTCTGTTTATCTCTCTGTCCCACTCTCCCTTTCTCCCTCCCTCTCTCTTTCTCACTCTCTCTCTCTCTTTCTCTCTCTCCCGTTCCCGCTATCTTGTTTTCTCTTTTTTTCTCTCTCTCTCTCTCTCTCTCTCTCTCTCTCTCTCTCTCTCTCTCTCTCTCTCTCTCCCTCTCTCTCTCTCTCTCCCCCTTTCTCTCATCTCTCTCTCTCTCTCTCTCTCTCTCTCTCTCTCTCTCTCTCTCTCTCTCTCTCTCCTTCTCTCCCTCTCTCGCTCTCTCTCTCTCCCCCTCTCTCACTGTCTCACTCTTGTCTTTCTCTCTTTCTCTCTCTCTCTCTTTCGCTTTCTCTCTTTCTCTCTCTCTGTTTATCTCTCTGTCCCATTCTCTCTTTCTCCTCTCTCTCTCTCTCTCTCTCTCTCTCTCTCTCTCTCTCTCTGTAGATGTGAGTGGTATAGAGTTGGCCTATGTAGACTGTGGTGAGTGGACTGTTGTCTGCAGTGACCAGAACATCACGTCTTTCCCCTCTGTTCTGCTCTATCGCCCTGGTGAGGTTCCCCAGCGCTACAGAGGCATGCTGGGAACTGGCAGCCTCCACAGGTTCCTCCTGCTGTGAGTTATCTAGGAGCTTTTCTTACAGTCTGGTCATCTACAGCAGACACTCTACTCACCACTGAACTCCTCAGACTGAGTGGATCAGTACACCACTGTGCACAACTGTCATAAGCTGTTGACAGGATTTCACCTATAACCTTTATATTTACTAATGTTTATGTTAATCACATGATCTCTAAAGGTCAGTGTGGCACCACACTTGAGTTTCTCATGCTCATGATTACAGAACTTTAGATGTCAAAGCGGTCCCCCCCCCCCAAAAGATAGGTTCACCTGAAGAGTTAGATACTGAATAATTCATAGTAGATACTGTATAATTCATAGTAGATACTGAATAATTCATAATAGATAATGAATAATTCATAGTAGATACTGTATAATTCATAGATGCTGAATAATTCAAGTAAATATTGAATAATTCACAGTAGATACTGAATAATTCATAGTAGACACTGAATATTTTGTAGTAGATCCTAATTAATTACTTAATAAGTAGTTGCCTAATAATTCAAGATGGATATTGATTAATCAATAGTAGTAAATGAGTTGTTTACAGTAGTTAAAGAATAATTCATGGTGAATACTGAGATTCCTAGTAATAACTGAATAATTCCTACTAGACTAATAAGCCTGCAGTGTAAGGGATTAATGCAGAGGGGCTTCACTAAATATCCTCCATCAGAGCCTGAAGGATTAGCAATGAGATGTTATATTTAACAGCAGTGAAGGTAAAGTGATGCCTCAGGAGTTATTGATTGAGCTCAGCCTGCACACTTTTTATTTTTCAACTCAAGTGTTTTTTTCCACAGTTAGTGATTAAGTGACCCTTATTAGCCGCACAATGGGGAAATTTCACCTCCACATTTGACCCATCCGTGCAGTGAAACACCACATACGCTAGTGAACACACACACACTAGGGGGCAGTGAGCACACTTGCCCGGAGCGGCGTGCAGCCCTTTCCACAGCGCTCGGGGAGCAGATGGGGGTTAGGTGCCTCGCTCAAGGGCACTTCAGTCACGTACTGTCGACTCGGGATTGAACTGGCGACCTTCCGGTCATAAGGCTGGTTCCCTAACCTCCAGCCCACGACTGCCCCCAGTTTTGCAGTTCTGCCATGTCACACATTATAACAGTTCACAGCTGTTTAAATCCTTTAATAGCTGCGTTATATGGCTGTAGTACCTTCTAACGTTTTGATTGATTACCAAACAAAAAGCCAATTAAAGTACCAAAACAGGGGGTCTCTGATACAGTTTTATGGGAAACGTACATTTAAAATGAGTGGTTATGTGTGACCTCATATGTGAAAGCGTTAATATTTTATCAGTAAGGAGTGATAAGTGCCGCTGCCAGCCCCAGGAGAAATCACTGGTATGCGCTAATTGGCTTATTGACATCCAGAACGCCAGCCAAAGTCTGCTGTTCACAGATACTACAAGATAATGACTCAAACCACAGCACTTCTGTCTGTAAAGCTTTCAGAGCACTGCCAGGAGTTATTTCAGCCTTATATAATGAAAGATTAGATATATTACGCAAAAATACTGAATCATTTTCTAACTATGCTTAGTTTTACTTTCGACACAAATACCAGTTTTATTTTCCAGTTAAATTACTTCCTGTTAATGCAGCCAGAATTAGGGACATTTTTTGCTATAAGTGTTATGAGCCATAATTTTTTAATTAATGTATGTATGAATCATTATTCTGGCAGAATAATATGAACAACACACCAATGAGGCATAACATTATGACCACCTCCTTGTTTCTCCGCTCATTGTCCATTTTATCAGCTCCACTTACTATATAGGTGCACTTTGTAGTTCTACAGTTACAGACTGTAGTCCATCTGTTTCTCTGATACTTTGTTAGCCCCCTTTTACCCTGTTCTTCAGTGGTCAGGACCCCCATGGACCCTCACAGAGCAGGTACTATTTGGGTGGTGGATCATTCTCAGCACTGCAGTAACACTGACGTGGTGGTGGTGTGTTAGTGTGAGTTGTGCTGGTCTGAGTAGATCAGACACAGCAATGCTGCTGGAGTTTTTAAACACTGTGTCCACTCACTGTCCACTCTATTAGACACTCCTACCTTGTCAGTCCACCTTGTAGATGTAAAGTCAGAGACGATAGCTCATCTGCTGCTGCACAGTTTGCGTTGGTCATTCTCTAGTCCTTCGTCAGTGGTCACAGGACGCTGCCCACAGGACGCTGTCGGCTGGATATTTTTGGTTGGTGGACTATTCTCAGTCCAGCAGTGACACTGAGGTGTGTAAAAACTCCAGCAGCACTGCTGTGTCTGATCCACTCAGGCCAGTGCAACACACACTAACACACCACCACCACGTCAGTGTTACTGCAGTGCTGAGAATGATCCACCACCCAAATAGTACCTGCTCTGTGAGGGTCCATGGGGGTCCTGACCACTGAAGAACAGGGTAAAAGGGGGCTAACAAAGTATCAGAGAAACAGATGGACTACAGTCTGTAACTGTAGAACTACAAAGTGCACCTATATAGTAAGTGGAGCTGATAAAATGGACAATGAGCGGAGAAACAAGGAGGTGGTCATAATGTTATGCCTGATCAGTGTATAATGAACCATTATGTGATTATAGACAAGTTTCTACACTTTAAAATGAAGATATCCATGAAATCTCACCACAATAACCATATAAACAAAATTCCAGATGATCTCTTCATACAGCGCAATAATGTATGATCATATTTCCCAGCCTCGTGTCCTGATGAGATTCCATAATGACTCGTTAAAGCGATTGCAGCGGTTAAAGTAATTATCTGTTGAGTCCTTTTAAAAACCACTTAATGTACATCCTTTAGAAAACAGCATAATGATGGTCAATGTTGCGTCTAGACATGCACTCCGAAAGCCGATATCCGTTTATCGAGATGTGGGAAGGTCGCGAGCAGACGAGCAGCTGCTGCTGTTGTGACGAACGAGTGAATTAGAACTACATAAAATGGACACAGAGCTGATTTTCTTTGTCTTTTTATATGATATGAAAAACATAATTGTGCTCGACATTGTCAAAGGTTTGCCCTCTATTGGAATATTGTTGAATTTAACTTTAATTTAAAAAACAGAAGATGATAAAGGTTTAGTTTATCTGAAATCAGCTCTGTGCTGATAGTTTGTGTATGTTTGTCTTCAACACTGACCTTCGTCTTCATCAAAGTGTCCTCAGGATGAGGAGCAGCGTTTGTCTAATGAATGATTTGACAGTTTTCTTTTCCAAACTGCTGTTAAAATCACACATTGAAGCTCTTTTGGTTAAAAACTGCTTCAAACACTTGAAAGGTTTGATTGCTGATGAGTGCTGGTATCACAACAAGTGCAGAAAGCGGGCGTGGCTTGGCTGTATTCACAAAGTAGGGCTTTTTTTTAAGCTTTGCAGTTTTGCTAAGAAAAATAGAAAAAACTTTCTGTTTAATATGGTAAATTATGGCAAACTAGCTACAAAACATGCTAATTTTAATCCTGTAAAGTGCATCCTTTATTATTCAGTCATTAATCGTGAGGTTAATTATTCATTGCTATAAATTTCGTCAGTAACTACTATGAATTATTCAGTATCTACTATGAATTATTCAGTATCTACTATGAATTACTCAGTATCTACTATGAATTATTCAGTATCTACTATGAATTACTCAGTATCTACTATGAATTATTGAATGTCTACAATGAATTATTCAGTATCTACTATGAATTACTCAGTATCTACTATGAATTATTGAATGTCTACAATGAATTATTCAGTATCTACTATGAATTACTCAGTATCTATTATGAATTATTGAATGTCTACTATGAATTATTCAGTATCTACTATGAATTACTCAGTATCTACTATGAATTATTGAATGTCTACAATGAATTATTCAGTATCTGCTATGAATTACTCAGTATCATCTGTGAAATATTCACTATCTGTTATGAATTATTAAATATCTACTATGAATTATTCAGTATCTGCTATAAATTATTCAGTATCTACTGTGAATTATTCAGTTTCTACTAATATATGCGACGCTTTAGGCAGCCCTGGTTTGATGAGTTTACAGTGGATTGACAGGTGTCCCCAAACTTTTGATGGGCCGTATATATACGAGTGTCCAGAAAAGTCTCTGTAGTTCTGTTTCAGCTCTGAGGCTTCGTCTCTCACTCCTGTGTGTGTTTAGTTCTCAGGTGCCGAGCCCCACGTCTCTCTCCTCCTCAGCGGAGGTTCTGTCCTTCCTGGAAGGAGATCTCTACAACACCAACTCCGCTCTCTCCCCCGTCCGTGTGCTCGGCCTTTACTCACCCGCAGACACAGGTACCGCTGGCTTTGAGCTCTGATTCTAATAAATTAAGAAAGACATCATTTATATAGTCTAACTCAGGGGTCATTAACATGTGGCTCCGGAGCTGCATGCGGCTCTTTTACTGCCCTGTTGTGGCTCCACAGCTGAATTAGATTAGTAGGTAAAAATAAAATAATCCTCCTTTACAGTAAAATAAAGCTCTGCTGATCGTTCAACACAGTTTAACAATAAATGGTCTTAAACTCTGGAGTTAATGTAGAACTGCTGATTCACCCTTTAACCCTGAAGATCAGCGCAGACTGCTGGTCACCATAGCAACACAGAAAACAGTCTCACCTAGCTAGTAGCTAACGAAGCGGCAAAGAGAGAGATTTAAGACGAACAAAGATAATTTAGAGATGAATGGACCTATTTGCGTTTATAGTCACTCCAGCTGGTTTCCTGATACGTTTAATCTGCAGCGACAAACTGACAAACACTAAACAGTCGCGAGGCTGAAGTCAGATTATCATTCGAATTTTTTCTTAATCTTCCCGTTCCACCTTAAATGATGCCGCAGTTACATTCTGGCACCTCAGGCACCATTTAAGGTGGAACGGGAAAATTCAAACAAGAAGCTGGTGAATGAGAAGCGACTTCAGCCTCATAAAAAGTCAAACATTGAGAGACATTTTACAAGAAACTGTTTCATTTTTGCGGAAAAGTTTCCTGTTGGAGATGCGAGAAAAGCAGCTATAGCTGAGCTAAAGCTTAAAGCAGAGCAAAGTCAGTCTGTGTTTTCATTTATATTATATTTTTAGCCTATATTATTACATCAGCACATACTGAGACATATTTACAGCCAAGATGGTAGAATGGACATAAAATCTTGTGGCTCCCAAGTTGGTTTGATTTTTGTTGAAAGGACAAAATGGCTCTTCTTACCGTTTGGGTTGTGACCCCTGGTCCAACGTTTAGATCAAGAAATTACAGAGAAATATCTATGAAAGAGAATTATCCTATTCGTTTGCTTCTGAAAGTTAAAATGCAGAGTTGCATTAACGCTGGTATTGTGCAGGATTGTTTCTGTTATGTTAAATGAATACCACACAATTTTTATCCTCCCTTGATCCAGTCTTGACTGGGTTTTGCCTGAGCCTGGTCTTTGACTCAAACACGACACTGCGCATTGACATACAAAGCGAGAGCTTTAGAAGTTAGAGCTAAGCTAGAGCTTGGAGTTTCTCTTCTCTTTTCTATTTTTCATTTTTTAAGATTACTGCAATTTTTGGACTCCAATTAATGATCTAACCTGTTGTTAAGGCCAAAAGTCTCAACTTTTCACTGTCTGCACTTCAGAAATAAAAGAGAAATTTATGTTCAGGCAAACAAAAAATATTTTCTTTTGGACCTTCAACCTTTCGAGTTATAAATATATGGGCCTTGAGCTGAGAAAGGTTGAGAGCCCCTGCTCTTTGGCTCGGAAAGAGCAGGATAGTCTCTTCACACGGACCCCCTGCTGGTGTAGACGCCAGCATCTATATTTTAAGAGAAAGTCATTGATATGTGAAACCACTGTAAAAACTCATCAACTTTTGTGGAAAGTAAGCAGCAGTAATACTGCTGACAACATTATTACATTATTATTTTACATTCATGCTGGAATTCGAACCATTGCACTTATAACATTTGTCTAGTTTTATGTACCAAAAACAGTCATAATTAATTTCTACATGACCATTTTCCTCTTTTTTTCCTCTCAGACTGGAATTCAAATCATTTACAGCTTATTTTAGATTCAGCCTGGAATTCAAATCATAAACAGCCTATTTTAGATTCATATTGGTATTCGAATCACTAACAGTGTGTTTCAGATATAGAAACATTTGTTCAGTCACAAGTTAACATTGCTTAAATAAAAAGCAGAATAATCCATTTTCCTCTTTTTTTCCTCTGTTTATCAATCAGGCCGTTTTTGTTACTGTGCCTTGGAGACTGCTGTATGTACATTAGCTCTGTTCTGATTTGCTGCTCTGTATTGTGCCTCATTCAAAGCTACAGGTTGAAACACTCAATCATTTACAGATTATTTTAATTCAGACTAGAATTCTAATTATTGTTAGCTTCATTTAGATTCATATTGGAATTCAAATCGTTAACAGTTTATTTTAGATTCAGACTGGAATTCAAATCATTTACAGCTTATTTTAGATTCAGAGTAGAATTCAAATTATTTACAGCTTATTTTAGATTCAGACTGGAATTCAAATCATTTACAGCTTATTTTAGATTCAGACTGGAATTCAAATCATTTACAGCTTATTTTAGATTCAGACTGGAATTCAAATCATTTACAGCTTATTTTAGATTCAGACTGGAATTCAAATCATTTACAGCTTATTTTAGATTCAGAGTAGAATTCAAATTATTTACAGCTTATTTTAGATTCAGACTGGAGTTCAAATCATTTACAGCTTATTTTAGATTCAGAGTAGAATTCAAATCATTTACAGCTTATTTTAGATTCAGACTGGAGTTCAAATCATTTACAGCTTATTTTAGATTCAGACTGGACTTCAAATCATTTACAGCTTATTTTAGATTCAGAGTAGAATTCAAATCATTTACAGCTTATTTTAGATTCAGAGTAGAATTCAAATCATTTACAGCTTATTTTAGATTCAGAGTAGAATTCAAATCATTTACAGCTTATTTTAGATTCAGAGTAGAATTCAAATCACTAACAGTGTGTTTCAGATATAGAAACATTTGTTCAATCACAAGTTAACATTGCTTAAATAAAAAGCCGAATAATCCATTTTCCCTTTGCCTAAAGGGGATAATAAGCTGATTATTTGGATCAGACGCGTGAGAGAAGAGAGGGGAAACACTGAAACATGCAGGGCAGGGACGCTCCAGGACCACGAACCTCTGCTTTAAACGTTACCATAGATGGTTTGTTTTCACCGTGTCTCCTTAGTAAAGCATGAGAATCATATGAATTCGAACAAAACACTTATGTAACAGTGTTGTGCAGTGGATCATGGTTTGTTTTTGTACCGTCACGGCTCGTATTCTGTTTTGTTCTTTGGTGTCCAGATGTGGTCGTCTTTGAAGAGGCTGCAAAGTCCCTGAGAGGAGAAACACTTCTGGGACTGTTTGTACATGAAGAGGCAGAGAGATGGTAAATGTTCTTCCTGGAGCTCAGCTGTGTTACAGACACTTCCAGTAATAGACTTGCTTGTGTATAAAAATTGGCAAATATACACCTGATGACTGAAAACAACAGCAGCAGCAAACACTCACTAAATTTCACTGTAATGCCACGTTTAAGCAGGGTGGTAAATCAGGGTCAGTTATCCAGTATAAAACAACAGCACAAATTACAAAGATACTTCTCTAAGGTAAACAGTGAAAAGAATCCAGCAGGACCACAGAAAGAATCACTGCTTTCTTATACAGTCCAGGGGCCGGATTCACATAAGCTTTCTTAAGAAAAACCTTGCAAAGGTTCTTAAGACAAACACTGACTAAGTTGGTAAGAAAGTTCTTAAATGCAGTTCTCGAAAAACTTAAGAAGTTCTCAGATATTCTGTTAACTTGGCTACAAGGAGATGCACAGCTGGAAACAGCATTCCGAAAAACGGCGCAGTTCACCTCGTTTTTTTCCCACTTCAGAAGTCTTTTATATAGCGCTTTTTACAACCGGCGTTGTCACAAAGCAGCTTTACAGAAATATCCGGGTCTGAGCCACCATGAGCGTCGCCAGTGGCAACAGTGGCAAGGAAAAGCTCCCTAAGAGCAATAAAAGCAGTCCCATATATATTTATATTAAGTGTCTCTAATAACTGTATCGTTACACATGCATACCATATGCAACGGCACTGTTGTAACACTATTCCTATTTATATTAAAAGAATCCTTAATGTTTACAAATATCTGAAATAAACTGCATCCAACCCCTGAGGAATTCCTAACTGGATAGTTTACAAACACCTTTCAAAAGGCCGTAATTTCCCCCTCGCTTCAGACCCACCACGCATACCTTATTCAATCATGCTTAATTTTGTTTTTTAATGCAAACATCCAACATTATCCCAATCCTCTAGTTTCCCTAGACCAATATCCACCCACACCCCTATCACCACATTAACACTCATACAAAATCAGCGTTTAACATAACCTCGGCTAAAAGTTCGTTTCGTTTCATCATTTCTTTATATAAACAAAGTTCACAATGTCCAGTCCATCATCAGCAAAGCACGGGGCAGCAGAGAGCGAGAGAGCACGCGAGCGAGAGAGTCTGGGAGATACGGCGTCTCCCCTTTAAACCCAGTAGCTCGCCGACCGTTTTCAACGTGAAGCAATGGAATTCCTTGAAACGAGAAGCTCCGTCGAACCTCCGATGATCCGCCTCAGCGCCAAGAGTCCGTACTTCTAGAAGCAAAACACAGCGTTACCGTGTCCAGTGAACAACATCCAAAACACCGGCGGCCCTCTACCTTCCAAACACCTCGCTCTTTCAAACTCCGCTCCTCTCCTCTGTCTCCCCACTCCTCCCCCGACGTGCCGTGTACTTCCTGTTTATCTCTGAAGGAGTCCTCCGATTGGCCAGATCGGTCCTGACGTCAGCCCGCATGGCAAAAATTACGGTAGTACATATACATTTAAGAGAGATAATCACCATTATCATCAAACATAATTTGATTTCCCCTCTATATAACATGGTTAACCTAGAAAATAGGATAGGCATCCAAACTTTAGTTATAGACCATGGGGACATTGTCACACTGTAACTACTGATGAGTTAGGATGGATTAAAGAAGTACAGCCTATGTAATTACACATGTGTATCAACTTCAGTTTTGCCTTATGTAATTACACAAGTGTATCTTCTACACAGGAACGTTCCTGTAGTGCAGTGTTAAAGATACACTTTATAATAAGTGGGCAGTTCCTGTGTAGTTGTTATGTAAGTACTGTGTTATAATGGAGTGGTAATATAGATGTTGCATTTGGGAGAAAGGCAACACATTTAATTAATGTGATAAAAGTTAAGTGTTAAGATAAGGGGACGTCTGCTGTTCTGTCACATTACAGAATGGTTTGAAGCTGAAACTGGTTACAGTGTCACAGCATGAGCAACATAAACACTAGCTGAATGTTAGGAAAGCTGGCAGATACAGTGTAAATAATCTCTTAATGTAAGTTATTAGATGCTTCGTTTTACTGCTGGGGAAGAAAACTTCTAATAAAACTGCTGTTCCAGTCTGATTACAAATCTAATTACATTTGTGTTATTACTGTGTAATTACATGAGAGAGAACAGGCTGTTACAACTATCACTAACATCACTAACAGCTTATTTTAGACTCAGAGTAGAGTTCAAATCATTAACAGCCTGTTTTAGATTTATATTGGTATTCGAATCACTAACAGTGTGTTTCAGATGTGGAAACATTTGTTCAGTCACAAGTTAACATTGCTTAAATAAAAAGCAGAATAATCCATTTTCCCTTTGCCTAAAGGGGATGTTAAGCTGTTACAACTATTAAGATACACTTGTGTAATTACATAAGGTGTAGTTCTGCAATCCATCTGTAACAGTGACTAAATCATTAGTAGTTACATTGTTGTTGCATATGTTGTTCACATGTAACTACACAGTTATTAGAGACACTTAATATGAAATGGGACCACAAAAGCTTTAATAAAAGAGCATTATGAACCGAGAATAAGTTTTTATCATTAGTATAAAATATTAAAAATTCACCAAAAAAAACCGATGTGAACCCTTCTTTAGTCAGGCAGTCAGCACGGTGCTAACAGGAGAGGCATTAGCTTCTGTTGTCTGTTAGCTACATTAGCCTCGTGCAAAACTAAAGAAGCAAACTTCAGGCGACAAACATGTTTTGGCCGACTGAACCTATTTGGGATAAGGAAGGAATTAATTCTGTATGTTTTTTTTGGGCGAACTTCAGTCTTGTGCAAAAGTTTGAGCACCCCTAGGCAAATTACACGTTTTGTTGATGTTTCTAAGTGAAAATAACTGAACACATCCTCTACAGAGAGCACACTTCTGCTGTCTCTGGCTGAATTGGACATATTTGAAAGACAAAAAAAAACATAAAATGTGGGCTGTGCAAAAAATATGACACATTTTATGTTTTATGTTTTTTCCAGTATGTTAAATTTAGCAAATAAATAGAAACTGTTCACTAAAATTTGCAGATATTTAAGTGAGTTCTCTGTAGAGGACGTATTAACTTGTTACTTGTTTAATAAATCAATCAAATCAATAAAACATGTCATTGAGTAGGGGTGCCTAAACTTTTGCACACAACCGTATTCCGTAGGTGTGATGTGTTCTCCGGCTGGGTGCTGGGTGTGAGCGTGTGCTGCTGTGTGTTTTCTCAGGGCTGGAGAGCACTCTGTGATGCTGCCTGCTCTCGTGGTCTCTCATGGGCCTGGAATTCAGCGTGAAGCTCATTCCCTTCATTCATCCACACCACAGGAGCTGGTCTCACACATACGGAGAGCCACGCTGGATCCATTTGTAAGTGTGAATTAATCTGAGCAAACTTGTTCTATTGGGATCTTCCCAGCTGCTGTTCATTAGGGGGATTTCAGAGACAACTACAGTTAGATTTAGATCAACAGATGGTTCACTGTAGATGCTCAGTCTGTCTTTAACGGACATTTGACTAAATATCTATAAAATGCAACTGAACTTTAGGAGACTCAACTGGAAATCAGTTTAATGTGCTGGAAGATTTTTATATATTTTTATACATTATTCTTATATATAATTATATATTATATTTTCTGCACAGATACCGTATAACTGGTAGAAACAGTATATAACAGTATTATTATCTTCATACTGTAAAATCTACACACACTGCAGATTCATACTGGATTAAAATCACTCCACAATTATTACTGTCAGACTGTAAAACTACACACACTGCAGATTCATACTGGATTAAAATCACTCCACAATTATTACTGTCAGACTGTAAAACTACACACACTGCAGATTCATACTGGATTAAAATCGCTCCACAATTATTACCGTCAGACTGTAAAACTACACACACTGCAGATTCATACTGGATTAAAATCGCTCCACAATTATTACTGTCAGACTGTAAAACTACACACTGCAGATTCATACTGGATTAAAATCGCTCCACAATTATTACTGTCAGACTGTAAAACTACACACACTGCAGATTCATACTGGATTAAAATCACTCCACAATTATTACCGTCAGAGTGATTAGAATGAAGAGCTCCACTAGAGCCTTTAAAGCTCTGATTAACCTTGAGTCTTTTGAATAAAGCCTGATGTCCTCCTCAGTTGATGGTATTTACTCTATTCTACATGATGAAGTTGCTAAGGAATCAGCCTTGATTAAACTAGAAGTGGAGACATAAACAGGAATCGCTGCTTTGAAGTTCTTCTGGGAAAACGAGTTCTCTTTTAGTGAAGCGATAAGTTTGGACAGAGCGTTTTATCCTATTACTCATCATGTTACCTCTAGTTCATTAGAGAAGAGAGACCGAGGGTTCACACGTTCTCCTCTGACGCAAACGGCAGTAAAAATCGTCACTGGCCGTTTTCAGGATTAACTTCCTTTGACAGTTTCACAGCGTTTATTTCTCTGCCTGTCTTTTAAATCTGACATCAGTAGCTCATCTTTCGTCTCCGCTCGCTCCGTCCAGCCCGAGCTGACCGTAGAGAACCTGCCGTGGTATTTGGAGCTGGGGAAGCCGCTGCTGCTGCTGTTTGTCGGTGCGGAGGAGAGTCCAGAGACTGACCAGTCACTGAAGGAGATCCAAAAAGCACAAAGCACCAGACAACTGGACTCATCACTGCCCTGCTGGATCCACCTGTGAGTGCAAATCATCTGTACCGCAAACACACTAATTACAGCTGGGAGCATCACTAATGATTATTTTAGTAATGGAGTAAAATTTCGATTATTTACATGATTAATTAGGTTTATAGGAAATGGCTAAACAGTAAAAATGTAATTAAGTGAATAATAATAAGCCATGAAATGAAATGAACAAATAAAAAAAAAAACAAAGGGCAAAAAGAATGAAGTAAGAAAAAAGGGAAGGAAGAAAGAAAGAAAGGAAAAAAGGAAGACAGAAGAAATGTAGGTAAAAAGAATGAAAGGACAAAAGGAATGAAGTGAGAAAAACGGAAGGAAGGAATGAGAGAAAGAAAAAAGAATGAAAGAAGAAGGAAGAAAGGACAAAGAAAGAAAGAAAAAGGAAGACAAGAAATGTAGGCTAAAAACGAAAGACAGAAAGAATGAAGGGAAAAAAGAAATAAAGAATGAAAGAAAAATTAAGGAAAAAAGAAAGACTGAGGGAGTCATAGAAGGAAGAAAGAAAGGAGAAATGAAGGGAAAAAGAACGACTGAAGGAATTAATGAATAAAGAAAGAAAGAAGAAATGAAAGAAAGAAAAAGAAAGGAAGGAAGGAAGAAAAAAATAAGGAAAAAAGAAAAATGGAGGGAATGAATGAAGGAGGAAAGAAAGAAATAAAGAAAGAAAGAAAAAAGGAAAGACAAGAAATTAAGGAAAAAAGAAAAATGGAGAGAATCAAGGAAGAAAGAAAGAAAGAAAAAAGGAGAAATGAAAAAAGAACGACAGAAGAAATGAATAAAGAAAGAAAGAAAGAAAGGAGGAAGGCAATGAAGGAAGAAAGGAGGAAGGAAGTTCTGCGTGGGCAGGTTTGAGTCTGCACTTCTGTCTTTTTTCTGTTTTTGATGTTAAGAAATGATGAAAACTGTGAAAATGTAAAGGATTCTTTTCTTTCTTAATAAAAACCCTACGATAGTAACTTTTCCTCAAATTCAGATCTTCTGCTCCCGAACGGCCGAACGTCCGGTCTGGACTGAAGGTTTAGAGTCCACAGTTTCTCCTCTCGTCTCAGTGAGAAACGAGTGAGAAAAGATTCAGCGTAATGTGTGAAGATGATGTTAAAGTGTTTTTAACTGATCTGGTTGTGTATCTGCTGTAGGGGTCGAACTCCTGCTGGACGGTCAGTTCTAGAGTCCTATCTCGGGTTTGTTCCTCCACTACCTGCTTTGGTGCTCTCACAGCTGGCCTCCGGAGGAGAGGTGTTTCACTTCCCCTCAGAGCGCCCCCTGCTGGCCGGGACCATCGTCCAGTGGCTGAAGAGAGTAGAGGACGGCCAGGAGCAGCCTGCAGGTCAGTAATACCAGAAAACGTGTAGAGAGGAGAATCATCACTCTGTAATGTCTAGAGGGCGCTCCCGAGCGAGTCCAAAATGAATGGGTTAATATGGAGCATTTCAGCAAAATCATAGTTTAGAAATGCTGAAACATTTTTAATGTAAAAGAATTCATTCATTTCCTGAACACAGAGCAGCATAAAACATTTAACACTGCTGTTATATTTTTAAGAGCTTTTAAACTCGAGTTATAGGAGTTTATAACGGCGCCTCATGTACGTTCATGACATCAGTGAGCGTCAACAGCCAATGAGCTGCTCCGCTCGCCAACCAATCAGCACTCAGTAGCAGTAATGTTAGTGTCCTGCTGCCCAAAACCCGTTTGCTGTAGAATAAAGGAAACAAACAGGTGAGATTTCGTTGCTTTTTTAGTGAAATCCATCCTTCTACTGTCTAAAATGAAAGGAAAGTTCTGGGCGAGTGATTAGAAACTATTTTAACTTTTTGTTTTTAGCCATTTGGTTCCATTTACTCCCATTCATTGAGGACTCACTCGCCGGCGCCCTCTGTTTTCGACACATTGGGGGAAATAGGAAGTGGCCAGACTCCTCATGAACCAGCTCTGGTTATACTCCGTCTGTAGAGTTGTGTTAAAGCGAAAGGCTGCGGTCAGTGTAGGAGAGATCTTGATAGCACTGGTATCTGAACGCTCCTCCTCAGCGATTACTTGCACACAGTCAAGCCGGTCCAAGCAGGCTGTATGAACACGTCATGGTTTGCTGACAAGCTGAAATCTCACGTTTAAAAACATTAAATTACATTTTACTTTGTGTTACAAAGTCAAAATCTGCACCTCACCACTCGGCTATTTTCAGCTGGCTTTGCGCTGCGCATGAAGGATCGTGGGTGACTAAAAGTCTGGAAGGATCCACCAGCAGAGTCCTTTGGCATTTTATTCATTCGGGGGGAATAAAATGCCAGAAAAATGTAGGATATGGGCCCTTTAACAGCACAGAGTTTGAGGTGAATTTTGATGATTTAGGCATGCAAGTAGCATGATGCTGATTAGTGGGTATATGTTTACCTGTTAACTACATTAGCTTCAGAGTTCCAGTGCTAAAGTAATGAGCTAGACACTACTTTGGCTACATTTGATGTAAAATGAAGTAAATTAGATTTTTTGGTGGACTGTTCCTTCAGTAACTCAATGATAATGCTTAGTAATGCAGTGCAAATGGCCCTTTTTCAGTATGTTCACAGACACGCCTTTTTGTAGTTTTTGTCTCTGTATTTCTGCAGTGCCGGTTGGTGCTTTACCCCGTCCTCTGTGCCAGCGGTCAGTCATCTGCAGCTCTTGAGAAAGTTCATAAAACGCAGTGGGCCATTCACTCGTCTTTCTGCCCTCATTCATCGTGCACCAGCTAATACAATCGCCATTGTTCACTGTGGTACAAAAATCAGCATTACTCAGCCTTGTCCGTCAGCTATGGTGACGTTTCGCTGGTTCTGATCCAAATACCACTCTGCTCTCTCCTCCCTGAAGGCCCTCTGCTCCATTTTACCCGTTTACAGTTTCTCCTCCATCACCGGCGAAAAACCTGAGCCGCTTTCTCAGCAGCATCTTCCATCTGCTTCCTATGAGGCCGGGGGTAACCATATCCCTTAATTGTGTCTGATCGTTGCCAGTTATTTCCTTGAATCTGCTCTGACTCCAGGGACGGGGCCCTTTTCGGTTTCGGCGTGCCAGCTCTCTGCAGTTTAAGAGAACAGTTTCATCCTTCTGACATTACGAATGGCCTTTTTTACAGCCGTGTGTGAATCACTCTGTCCTCCCGTGGAATATTTCCTATGTTTTATACGCCAGCAAAGTACAAACAGCTGCTTACATGCGATTTATACACGGTGAATCAAAAACTGTTGCTCAGATGTTGTTGTTGTTGTTGTTTTGTAGTGATCACTGATGTTTAGCACAAGTTGACACAAAATAGACAACATGGTGGCTTTCATTCCAACTGAGCAGGATCTCACCTACGGAGCCCCGGAGGGGATGGAGGTAAAAGAATTAATTCACGTGAATGTTTTGCAGTTTGTATGTTTTCTTTTATTTGTGATCAGGATTTTCTAGTTCGTTCCCTCATTTTCTTTTAATCGTGCTCACGTATTCTTCACTTTGTGGGTAGGTTTTTTTAAAATTTGTGATCACGATTTTCTAATTCGTTCTCTAGTAGATACAGGCCGCTAACAGCTCCCTGAGACCGTCTGACGGGTTTTGATGTGTGAGAAATTAGACAGAGATGCTCATCAGGTCTGATTTGATTTGGGGGGTTATGAAGAAACTGTAGCTCTTCTTCACAGCGAACGGCCCTCAGATTCATCAGTGCAGCTGCAGTTTGGTGGAGAAATGAAGGGAAGACAATAAACTACAACCACAACCTTCACTAAACTGCACTTTCCAGTGATTATATTTGACAGAAATGTAGGCGCAGTGCGGCCGCTTAGCGCTGCTTCCGCTCCCGCGACAAGCTGTGGTGTTAGGGACCATCATACAATTATAGGAAGAAATGATGAGCGTCAGTGTTTCAATTAAACACACACAGAAACATTAATGTGGGATGAGGACAAATGGTGAGAGAGTTTAATAGATCTATGGATTAAATCTAGATATGAAAGGATGTTGAAACGCTGATCATTTCTTCCTGTAATTGTGTGATGGTCCCTAACACCGCAGCTTGTCACGGGAGCAGAAATATAAATATAATCACTGGAAAGTGCAGTTTAGTGAAGATTGTGATTGTAGTTAATCATCATCCTTTATTTCTCCACCAAACTGCAGCTGCACAGATGAATCAGTGGGTTGTTTGCTGTGAAGAGGAGCTACAGTTTCCTCACAACCCCCCAAATCAAAATCAGACCTGATGAGCATCTCAGTCCAATTTCTCATCAATCTAACACATCAGAACTCCTTCTTGCTGTGAAGAGGAGCTACAGTTTCCTCACAACCCCCCAAATCGAAATAAGGTAATGGACAGAGATGCTCATTAGGTCTGATCAATCAAAACCCGTCAGACAGTGTCAGGGAGCTGTTAGCGACCTGAATCTACTGCATTGATTTGCGCACAAATAAATAAAATAAACAATGTGCGTTCAGTTAAAAATGACCACAGTTCAAAGAAAATGAGAGAATAAATTAGAAAATCGTGATCAGGAATTAAAATAAACGTACCCACAAAGAAAACATGCGCACGATTAAAAGAAAACGAGGGAACCAATTAAGAAATCATGACGACAAATAAAAGAAAACGTGTGTATGAACTGCAAAACGTTTGCTCCAATCTTTTTTTTTTTAACTTTGACCCCTCCGGTGCGCCGTACTCACCTGATTCCACCTGTGAACTGGTGAGCTGTCGATTCTCCTGATTGGTTGGAATACACTACAGCTGCAAACACACTGGGCAGATAACCTTGTCTATTGAGCGCAGACGGCATCGTCCCTCATATTCAGCCCACCAGAGCTGCACAGTGTGTCTTTCATTTATATCCACATTACAGCTGTAGGCAAAACTGCTCCCTGTATGTTGCACTATGTAAGTTATGAAATTTTGGCTTTTCCATTAATTTCCAAATATTGCGCTTTATGTCCAGTATGAATTGTGCACACATGGCTGAATCCAGTGTGGTTTTGTTAGACACACTGTTCTCTGTTTACATGGTTCTTCCGATTAGTCATTCTTCTGTTTTTACAAGCTTGGCATCAAGAACAATAGCAGAACCCTTTTTGTTGCTATATAGAACCAAATACAACACATACTCCATCAATCTGCTGGAGGAGACCGAGGCTGCAGCGTCAGAGAACAGTTTAAAGAATCCGAGGACACGAACCAAAGAAGTGGCCGTGGCCGAATAATGAGCCCTTTTTACGGTGAACTCAAACACACTGTGGGTGATGAGTCCAGCTGTCAACCACTGGAACTTTATACTCGCTCCTGTGATGCTGGCGAAGACGAAACTGATCCTCCGGGAGCGACTGGCGTTCACTGGCCATCATGACTGTTTACCTCTGGACGAGCCACGTAAAGCTCTGTTCTTTTGCGCATGCGGGTCGGTTTAGGAGCTGATCTGTTCAGACTGATGTCGCTTACAGGTCACATTTAAAAGATAATCTGAACAGCCAAACAAAAAAAATCAGATTTGGGCCACTTTTACCTGCTGTGTGAACGTAGCCTTATACTGGTCCTGCAGCCCAACAGAGCAAAATACAGCTACAGTCATTTGGGACTCAGACACATCCACACTCGATAAATGATGCACTGTTTGTGGGACTACACTGTTTAGGGAGTGCAGAGCTGTTTGGGATTCAGCCTGGATTTGACGCGACTTCTGACTGAAACACAAACATTTGAAGTGTGTAAAACATTTCAGTGACATTTTTAGACTTTTATACTGTAGTTTTACAGTGAAACATATTGTAAGTCCTTTAATTCAAGCCTGTGATATTAATGATGGAGTTGTTTAGCCTGTCTATCTTTTAGCCTGTTAGCTAGCTGACCAGCCTAGTTCTAGTTAAGAACATAAGTTGTCAGCCCACTCAGTTTAAACAAACAACCGGGTTCTTACTTCATCAGTGCACTCGGTGCTCCATGTGAGCAGCATTAGAGTCAAAGATCATTCCATTAACAGCACAAGGGTTTTTCGTGCCGTGGCGCAGTGATACACAGTTCAGTTGCTGTTAGGCGGTCATAGGTGTGGATTTTACAACGGCTTCGAACGCAGCTCAGCCAATCAGATTTTAGGACCGGAACTATTCGTTTTATAAAATACATTAAACTATTCCCACCTTCGTAAACAATGCATGAGCGTCCACTGAAGGACGAACGGACGACTCTGTACACCTTCCTGTCAGTTGGCAGTGTGCGACGCGCTGCGAGGATGTTTTGGGCCGTTATTTTTAAAAGTATGGGTGAGGCTCTTGGATCTGTTTCAGAGCCAGAGAGTGACCTCTGCTCTGCACACCCACCTC